CCTTTCGTTTTCAGTTAATTTCAATTTCTCTGAATATGATTTTATGGAAATTACAGAATCAGATACCATAAAAAAAATATGCCTATATGCCTAAAAATATCAATTCTTGGCCAACGCTCGCATTCGAAAAATTGTTGCCAGTTAGCAGGAAAAAGTCTTGAGATTTTAAGCAAGAACTTTCCCTGCTTAAAACGCCTTTATTTATTTTATTTATTTATTTTTATTATTATTATTATTTTTTTTTACACCGCCAGGCTGGTCGCATCGTTGGCTTTGCTGGTCATCGCTGGAACGAGCCACAGCTACCCAACGGCTCCTCCCGAGGTGACCGCGAAGTGTCCCTTCATTCCGGCGCGGTATCCTCTGCTGCTGCCTAACCCCTTCGACTGCGGCTCCTACTTCTGCAGATGGGAGAGTGAGGCCTCCTTGCAATACTGTCCTGAAGATCTGCACTTCAACGCCGTGTTGCAGGCGTGTGACTATCCTGCTGACGCCGACTGTGCCGAGAGAACCACGGCTGCTTCTGCCTCCAAGTAAATACAGCTTCCCGAGTCTCCAGTTCGACTAATGAGATCACAGATGTCTCGTCTCCAGTGTAACCACAGCTGTTTCAAGCGATGATACACGATTTGAATAAATGTTCTAATCGCTGATTTAGATAAATATTTTGCACCGAGAAAGTTCCTTTTATTGAATAGTTTAACCTATTATGGTATATATAAGAGTACAGATTACAGAACTTCAAGACCGCTGGGAAATATTTATATTATGTGCAAAAGTTACGAAAAAATAAAATGCTCCAGAGAACAAGTGAAAACAAGTGCAAGATTTTATCACACAGAATTGGGTAATGAATGCAGTCAGATTAGGCTGAAGTCATTTGATGTGATACGGTAATGATAACCTCTATCCATATATTTCAACAAAAACATGTCGATAAAACAAGTCAGTAAAAGAAGTGTCAATACAATAAATCTAAGAAACCAAAGAGATATCTTCACATTCTGGAATTAACCGATTCTATTTCCTGAATGGCGAGGATCTTAAAAACCGACTTGAAATCCCATACATAGTTTAATCTCAATTTGCTTCATAGTCTCTGCGCAACAATATCTTCAGAGGCAGGTGAGTATGAACGGAAATAATTTCTTAGTTCTAAATAAGATGTTTATTTTTAATCGGCCGATCATTGTCTTTTTCTTTTCTTTTTTTTGTTTCGTCCTTCAATTACTGGCTTTCTTTCTCCGACATACGCTTCTAGCCATCTATCCCTCTCTCTCTCTATCTTTGTCTGTCTGTCCATCCGACAACCTTGTTTTTATTTGGTCTTCTGTTGTTAGTTTGTTTGCAGTTTTTTGAACGTGAGTCCTTCTAAATGAGCTGCTTTCCTGGGAAAACTTCGGCATATTTCGAAAACTATCATTTTCTCTATTTCCTCTGACGGCGATACAAGATTAGAGAATGGATTTGGGGGACTATTCTGCGTTCCTTTGGTGTCTGTGTCCTGACGTCATTCTTCGAACTTATAAGACGAAACCCCGTACAAGTTTCACAGGTATGCGACTGGTTTTGTTGCGCTACAGAGTTTATCCTAGAAAGAAATCTGCAGGATATAATATAGCATAAATGCAAAATGACGCATAAAGAACACTGTACAGTTAAATGTTCAGACGGGCAAATCAACCAATTCTTATCTCTGTTAGCCTGGTCGCGTCTCTGTCGCTGCTGGTCGTCGCAGGAGTGAGTCACGGCCTCCCAGCCGTCGTCACGGCCCCTCCTCAAGTGGCCGCCCAGTGCCCCTACACGCCGGGGCCGATCCCTCTGCTGCTGCCCAACCCCGTCGACTGCGGCTCCTTCTACATGTGCAGCTGGTACGGGACGGCCCTGTTGCAGCACTGTCCTCCTGTGCTGCACTTCAACGCCAAACTGCAGGTGTGTGACTCTCCTGAACACGCCAACTGTGTCCAGAGAACCACAGCTGCCCATCTCCAGCACCACTACTTCTGCCCCAGTCTCCAATGCGACCACAGCTATTCCTGTGTCTAATATAACTACAGTTGTTCCAGTCAGCAATGTAACCACAGCTGTTCCTATCTTCAACGGAACCACAGCTGTTCCTTCTCCACTGTGACCGCAGCAGTTCCAAACTCCAGTGTAATTGTAGCTGCTTCCAGATTTCTAGTCTCTTGTATCTCCAGTTGCTCCAGTATCCAGAGTAACTCAGACGAACGCCAACAATATTGCTGTCAAGATGTTTCTTAATATGCCATACATTTATTTCGGAATAAACTGCTTAAATACTTTATGTTTTGGACGCATATTTTTCCTGATATTAGTTCTGCTTGGTTAAGAACATTTCAGATAAAAGGAAATGAAGAGGAAATAATAGGACACATAACTAACGCTTAAGAAAAATCAAGTTAAAGTAAAACTAATCTTTCACAAGATACATGAACACATAACAAAATCAAATAATATAGAAGCTATTGAATGATAAATTGCGCAACGTAATAAAAACAGTTAAATAGATCATTACAAATTAATAAATGGCCCCACTGCAAAAAACAATTGGTCTAGAATTTAATGGCGATAAGAAATCTTAAGCTGATGAATCTGAAGGCGAATGCAACATAACACTCAGCAGTAATAAAACGCTGCTCTTCACTTTCTGGAAAAATGGTTGTGTCATGTGAAAAAAAAAAAAAATAAAAAAAAAAATATATATATATATATATATATATATATATATATATATATATATATATATATATATATATACATACATAATTGTTGTAGTGTAGGATGAGGCTTGTCAAGGATCAGAATATATGTGAAGTGATTACGGACTTCATTTCACAACCATTACTTGTAAAACAAGTGTTGGGTTAATGGGTGATGTATGTTCACTGTAATTTTGGAATATAAAAATTGTGTCGGAAGGTGTGAAAAATAAGTCTTAAATGTCTTTCCTTTATAGAACTAGCACTTATAACCCCACGGATTGTGAATCACAACAAGCAATATTCTTAATGTTACAGCTGATTATTCCATCTCAATTGAGGGTGCTATGCATCGTGCCCAGCCAGCTAGTCACACGCGCGTCTATCAAAGGGACTCATAAAACATAGTCTACATTCCATAGTCCTACATGACAAGCAAATAGTCATAGGGCTCCTTCCACATGTTCATGGCATTACGTGATTAGGTTAATCTTTTCATAATATTGGGGTATATATTTCTTATGATTGTCACCTTAGTTCGAGGTAATGCAAGTACTTTTAAGGTAACGTTTAAGGTAATGCAATTATTAAGGTAATTTTAACGCAATTCTTTTTTCTTTGTATTTTGTAAAGATAAGTATTATTGATGATCTAGTGTGATAACACTTTGGACATTCGTACTGTGAGTTAGTATTTGAAAATGTGTTATTTCTTTGTATCTTGTAATGATAACTATTATTGATGATCTAGTATGATAACACTTTCGACAGTCTTACTGTCAGTAGTAATTGAAAATGTCTTTTTATTTATATTTTGTAAAGATAAGTGTTATTTGTGTTGAAGAAGGAAAGGGCATTATTTTTTTAATGATTCAGCAATGCTAAAGTTGTGATGTAGCCTATCAGGTCTATTGAAGAATTCTTATATGCCTATTATGATTGATTGCTACCTAAAACTAGACATGTTCAATTGTTCAATCGTCATTAAAAGTGTCAAGAACAAAGAAAGTTAAGATGAATTCATATTTTCAAAAAAAAAAAAAAAAAAAAAAAAAACTAAGGTAATTGTCAGGGATATGCTCCAACAGTTCTAAAGTAATTCGCTGAAATCTAAGGTAAAAACGACATCTAAGGTAATGTTCATTTCTGCTTGTGAGAGCCTATTACTAATATATATATTGTTATTGACATATATAGATATTATGTTCATAATAAGACCTGAACAAGCATGAAATATAAGGGACTGTGAGAGGCTAGTAAAACTACCCTATTCAACATATAACACGCATATAAGGCCAAACGAGAAGCCAGTCGCTCTCGCTCAATACATCGTTATCCATTCCACCGCCTGGATCTAGTCCAAGTGATTTTGATGTTTTCTTTAACATAAGTTAAGTGTAAAGAATAAACTGTAAAGAATTATCATCAGATTATCGTGATCAAAGTATTGTCAAGTAAAAAAAAAAAAAAAAAAAAAAAAAAAAAAAAAAAAAAAAATCCAAATTAATTGACTAATTACAATCTTTACAAGGAAATAGTGCAGATGTTTTTATTCTATTATTAATTTTTTCCTCTGGTTCTTTCGTCGTTTGACATTCACGGTCAGTTTTCTAAGGTGATACTAGATAAATCTCTAATAATACACGCACATGCATCTGAATGTGTATATATGTGTGTGTGTGTAAATAGACACATTTCTTAATATATCTGTATATACATTCATAACTAGATCTATCTATATCTGTATCTCTCTCTCTCTCTCTCTCTCTCTCTTCAATATATATATATATATATATATATATATATATATATATATATATATATATATATATATATGTATGTATGTATGTATGTATGTATACAAGTATACCGCGTTATTTCATTTCTATCTATACATCTTTCTGTCTCTATCGATCGAACTGTCTAGTTTCGATGTCTATATGCAACATACGCAGTTATTTGCCCTGCTCTTCCCTTATTTGTTCTGTTTACAATCTGCTCAGCATGAATCCTCCTTATCTCCTCCTTATCTTCGGGGAGAACCTGCTTCGGAGGAGGAATACCTTAGCCTTTTCCATTTCCTTTGGCGGAGATAAAGATTAGAAACTGGATTAAAGGGATTATTCTGAATCTTTGGAAGTCAATTCTGACGTCATTCTTCCACCTTATAAGGCGAAACCCTCGTACACACAAATCACTCGAAAAGAGAACCTCACAGCACACCAAACGACTCAATCATCTGTCTACATTTGTAGCTTTAAAAATGAAGTTTCGCAGGTGTGTAGATGCCTTAGCTGTGTCACAGTTGATTTCAGAGACATAGATATACAGGATGCACTACGAACGCAAATACACATTGAGTCATTAAGACCAAAAATGTATAGTTAAATATGTTCCGTCAGGCATATCAACCAATTCTTATTTCCGTCAGTTTGGTCGCGTGTCTGTCGCTGCTGGTCGTCGCAGGAGTGAGTCACGGCCTCCCAGCCGTCGTCACGGCCCCTCCTCAAGTGGCCGCCAGTGCCCCTACACGCCGCGGGCCGATCCCTCTGCTGCTGCCCAACCCCGTCGACTGCGGCTCCTTCTACATGTGCAGCTGGTACGGGACGGCCCTGTTGCAGCACTGTCCTGCTGTGCTGCACTTCAACGCCAAACTGCAGGTGTGTGACTCTCCTGAACATGCCAACTGTGTACAGAGAACACAGCTGCCCTGTTTCCAGCATCACTACTGCTGCCCAGGCTCTAATATAACCACAGCTGTTCCGTCTCCAATGTGACCACAGCTGTTCCCGTCTCCAATGTGACCACAGCTGTTCCCGTTTCCAATGTGACCACAGCTGTTCCCGTCTCCAATGTGACCACAGCTGTTCCTCTCCAATGTGACCACAGCTGTTCCCGTTTCCAATGTGACCACAGCTGTTCCCGTCTCCAATGTGACCACAGCTGTTCCTGTCGCCAACGTTACAACAACTGCCCCACTCTCCAATATAACTTCAGCTGTCCCAGTCAACAGAGCAGCCACAGCAGGAGTGAGTCACGGCCTCCCAGCCGTCGTCACGGCCCCTCCTCAAGTGGCCGCCCAGTGCCCCTACACGCCGGGGCCGATCCCTCTGCTGCTGCCCAACCCCGTCGACTGCGGCTCCTTCTACATGTGCAGCTGGTACGGGACGGCCCTGTTGCAGCACTGTCCTCCCGTGCTGCATTTCAACGCCAAATTGCAAGTGTGTGACTCTCCTGAACACGCCAACTGTGTCCAGAGAACCACAGCTGCCCCTTTCTACAGCACCTCAACTGCTGTCCCAGCCTTCAATGTGACCACAACTGTTCCTATCTCCAACGTAACTACAGCTGTCCCAGTCTCAAATATAACTACAGCTGTTCCAATCAACAATGCGACCACAACTGTTACTTCGTCAGCGTGACCACACCTTTTCCAAACTCCACTGTAACCGCAGCTGTACCCAGCTGGTCTATGTCTCAATGCATCCAGTGTCCAGGGTGACCACGCCTGGACCAGACCAGAGTGCGAATCACAAGCACAATCAAAATGCCTCCCAATGTATCCTGCATTTACTTTGCAATAAACTTTTTGAAATCGAACATTATATTTTGCACGCATTTCTTTCATGATGGTTATTCTGGTTAGCTTACATAACTGCAGAAAATTAATGATGTGAAGAGAATAACATTAATTTCACAAGAAGATAAAACAAACAACGAATATTAAGATTATAATAGACCTTTCTTGAGGTAGACACCAATGGCAACAATAATTATTTTGACGGACAATTAATGTAATTATTGAACTTAAAGTTCATTCAATTTACAAAAGGTGATGGAAAATAACGAAGGACTTGGCGATTGCTTATATTTCAGAACAGATTGTCTGGGATGCACTCGCAAGAAGAAATGTAAAAGTAACCAAAGCCTAAAAGGTCTTCTGAAGAGTTCTATTTCGATGAACCTGGAAAGAGAATATAGTTATAAGCACAGAATTTGGAAACAAGGCTAAACAAATCGTGATATTATGAGAATGATAATAATAATAATAATATAAGGAAATGGAAATGGATCTATCCACTTCGTTTTTGCGTCGTCTGATTAAACCAGTTTGGATTCAAAACGCGATTTTTCCCTACAGTGGCCGTTTTATCTTATTGGGATATTAAAGTATGGTGATGCGTTGCATATTGTAGGATAAAGTAAACAGCATGGCAAGAAAAAAGAAAATCACAAAAAGCCTGACCAGATTTTGCGACGCCTGATCATGATATATGAAAGGAAAAACAAAACAATTAAGGAATGAGATGAGAAGAATTATCATATAGTTCTGAATATTTGTTCATGTTTTAACAGTCGGTGTTTCATCCCTCGGGAATTTGTTATCTACAAAGCAACTCCATAGATTGAGTTATGAGTTGTAAGGGACTGTCTATTAATATCTATAATGTTATAACTGTCCAATGCTCCCTTGTGGACGCTGAGCTTTGCTTGAAATTATTTGTCTGGATAATACAAACAAGTAACGGTCTATCTGTCCACACCTTGTCACCATCTATCTACTAGCGCAGATATGTTTATGTTTTTTGTCTATATCTTTAGGCAAAATGTATGCACATACATACGTATACATATAGACATATAAAAATGTGTGTGTGTGTGTATGTACGTAAACATATATATGCGTGCATGTATATATATATATATATATATATATATATATATATATATATATATAATGTATGAATGTATATATAATCTCGTTGATTTATTAGATTTATCGGTTATTCGTGTTATGGTTATTTATTTTCAAGCTTATAACTTGTACTACACAAGCAATTGATTTTTGTTGCACTGAACAAACATCTGCCTAACAAATGCGGTTTATCCCAAACATTTCCTCGGAATGTGAGAGGCAAATCAACCCCAAAGTCCCTCCTTATCTTCCCATCGGCGTTTATCATCTATTTCCGGAGAGAGATCCGACCAAGAGGATTAAGGAACCTTATCTCGTCTTTCCGTCGCCACTGAGACGTCATCGAAACGTATGCTGGGGATTTAATCCGAGTCCTCGACGTCTGCTCTTTGACGTCACTCCTCGTTCTTATAAGCAAGACGCTCGTCCGACCAACGCATTCGAGAGGATCGTTCTTAACACGAGAAGCTCCTTCAACGCGCAGGCACCTCAGCGTCTACCTGCATTTGGGCAATCAGTGAAAACATCTAAAACATGATGTTTAAAAGGTGTGTAGGTGATTTCCATCAATCGCTTCGTCTTACTGGAAAGTAAAAAAGGAGTGGTAATAAAAACTGAAAAATAAACGTTGTGAAATGTATTTTTGCTTGATTTTGTTGGTTTCAATACGAAGCACACCACCTCCCATACACATGTTCGCATGTGTATGACAGAGGGGCGCTAGGAATCCAACTGTAAGCCAAGGGGGCGCCAGCCTGGAACCACTGGTTGAGATGCCAACATCATCTTTCTATGCCATATGGGTCACAAACATTAATCTTTAGTATCGTATTCTGTAAGGAAGAATAACAAAACTTTACTTCATCTCCGTCAGTTTGGTCGCGTCTCTGTCGCTGCTGGTCGTCGCAGGAGTGAGTCACGGCCTCCCAGCCGTCGTCACGGCCCCTCCTCAAGTGGCCGCCCAGTGCCCCTACACGCCGGGGCCGATCCCTCTGCTGCTGCCCAACCCCGTCGACTGCGGCTCCTTCTACATGTGCAGCTGGTACGGGACGGCCCTGTTGCAGCACTGTCCTCCTGTGCTGCACTTCAACGCCAAGCTGCAGGTGTGTGACTCTCCTGAACATGCCAACTGTGTACAGAGAACCACAGCTGCCCCTGTTTCCAGCATCACTACTGCTGCCCCAGGCTCTAATATAACCACAGCTGTTCCCGTCTCCAATGTGACCACAGCTGTTCCGTCTCCAATGTGACCACAGCTGTTCCCGTCTCCAATGTGACCACAGCTGTTCCCGTCTCCAATGTGACCACAGCTGTTCCCGTCTCCAATGTGACCACACTTCCTCCTGTCGCCAACGTTACTACAGCTGCCCCAGTCTCCAATATAACTTCAGTTGTCCCAGTCAACAGAGCAGCCACAGCAGGAGTGAGTCACGGCCTCCCAGCCGTCGTCACGGCCCCTCCTCAAGTGGCCGCCCAGTGCCCCTACCCGGGGCCGATCCCTCTACTGCTGCCCAACCCCGTCGACTGCGGCTCCTTCTACATGTGCAGCTGGTACGGGACGGCCCTGTTGCAGCACTGTCCTCCTGTGCTGCACTTCAACGCCAAACTGCAGGTGTGTGACTCTCCTGAACATGCCAACTGTATCGAGAGAACTACAGCTGCCCCTGTCTCTAGCACCTCAACTGCTGGCCCAGACTTCAATGTGACCACAATTGTTTCCTATTTCCAACGTAACTACAGCTGTCCAGTCTCAAATATAACTACAGCTGTTCCAATCAACAATGCGACCATAACTGTTACTTCGTCAACGTGACCACACCTTTTCCAAACTCCACTGTAACCGCAGCTGTACCCAGCTGGTCTATGCCTCTATGCATCCAGTGTCCAGGGTGACCACGCCTGGACCAGACTTCAGAGTGCGAATCACAAGCAAAATCAAAATGCTTCCAATGTATCCTGCATTGATCGCAATAAACATTTCGAATACATGCTTTATCTTTTTTTACATATTCATGTCCTCATCTTTACTCTGCTTAGCTTACATAACTGAAAAATTAATGATGTGAAGAGAATAAAATACTCTAATTTCAAAAGAATATAAAACTTAAACAGAACGAATATTAAGATTACAATAGACCTTTCATGAGATAGACAAAAGCCAATAGCAACGATAGTTATTTTGACAGATAAGGAATGTAATTATTGAATGGAAAGTTCATTCACCATAGAAAAGGTGATGGAAAATAGTGAAGGAATTGATGATTGCTTATATTTCAGAACAAATTGTCTAGAATGCACTCGCAAGAAGAAACGTGAAAATAACCAAAGCCTAAAAGGTCTTCTGAAGAGTTCTATTTCGATGAACCTGGAAATGAGAATATAGTTATAAGCACAGAATTTGGAAACAAAGGTTAAAAAATCGTGATTTTATGAAAATAATAATAGTAATAATAATGATAATGAAATGGAAATGGATCTATCCACTTCGTTTTTGCGTCGTCTGATGTAACCAGTTTGGATTCAAAACGTGATTTTTCCCTACAGTGGCCGTTTTATCTTATTGGGATATTAGAGTATAGTGATGCGTTGCATAAAGTAGGATAAAGTAAGCAGCAAGGCGATAAAAAAAAGAAAATTACAAAAAAGACTGACCAGAATTCGCGACGCCTGATCATGATATATATGGAACAGGAAAAACAAAACAATTGTTAAGGAATGAGGAGATGAGAAGAATTATCATATAGTCCTGAATATTTGTTCATGTTTTAACAGTCGGTTTTTCATCCCTCGGGAATTAGTTATCTACTTAAACAACTCCATAGATCGAGTTATTTGTAATGGACTGTCTATTAATATCTCTAAGCCGTAGTGACTGCCCAGTGCTCCCTTGTGGACGCTGAGCTTTGCTTGAAATTATTTGTCTGGATAATGCATACATGTAACGGTCTATCTGTCCACACCAGTTCGCCATCTATCTACAAGCACAGATGTGTTAATGTTTTTTGTCTATATTTCAAGCAAAATGTATGCACATACATACGTATACATATTGACATAAAAATGTGTGCGTGTGTGTGTATGTACGTATACATATAATATGCGTGCATGTATATATTATATATATACATTATGTATGAATGTATATATAATCTTTGATTTATTAGATTTATCGGTTATTTCGTGTTTGGTTATTTATTTTCAAGGTTATTACTTGTACTACACAAGCAATCCATTTGTGTTGCACTGAACAAACATCTGCCTAACAAATGCGGTTATCCCAAACATTTCCTCGAATGTGAGAGGCAAATCAACCCCAAAAAACCCTCCCTTATCTTCCCATCGGCGCTTATCAGTTATTTCCGGAGAGAGATCCGACCAAGAGGATTAAGGAACCTTATCTCGTCTTTCCGTCGCCACTGAGACGTCATCGAAACGTATGCTGGGGATTTAATCCGATGTCCTCGACGTCTGCTCTTTGACGTCACTCCTCGTTCTTATAAGCAAGACGCTCGTCCGACCAACGCATTCGAGAGGATCGTTCTTAACACGAGAAGCTCCTTCACCGCCAGGCACCTCAGCGTCTACCTGCATTTGGACAATCAGTGAAAACATCTAAAAACATGATGTTTAAAAGGTGTGTAGGTGATTTCCATCAATCGCTTCGTCTTAATGGAAAGTAAAATAGGAGTGGTAGTAAAAACTGATAAATTAATAAGTTGTCAAATGTATTTTTGCTTGATTTTGTTGGTTTCAATACGAAGCACACCACCTCCCATACATATGTTCGCATGTGTATGACAGAGGGGCGCTAAGAATCCAACTGTAAGATAAGGGGGCGCCAGCCTGGAACCACTGGTTTAGATGCTAACATCATCTTTCTGTCCATATGGGTCACAAACATTAATTTTTAGTATCGTATTCTGTAAAGAAGAATAAAAAAAAACAACTTTACTTCATCTCCGTCAGCTTGGTCGCGTCTCTGTCGCTGCTGGCCGTCACAGGAGTGAGTCACGGCCTCCCAGCCGTCGTCACGGCCCCTCCTCAAGTGGCCGCCCAGTGCCCCTACACCCCCGGGGCCGATCCCTCTGCTGCTGCCCAACCCCGTCGACTGCGGCTCCTTCTACATGTGCAAGCTGGTACGGGACGGCCCTGTTGCAGCACTGTCCTCCTGTGCTGCACTTCAACGCCAAACTGCAGGTTGTGTGACTCTCCTGAACACGCCAATTGTGTCCAGAGAACCACAGCTGCCCCTGTCTCCAGCACCCCTACTGTTGTGCCAGTCTCCAATGTGACCACAGCTGTTCCCGTATCCAATGTGACCACAGCTGTTCCCGTCTCCAATGTGCCCACAGCTGTTCCCGCCTCCAATGTGACCACAGCTGTTCCCGTCTCCAATGTGACCACACAGCTGTTCCTGTCGCCAACGTTACTACAAGCTGCCCCACTCTCCAATATAACTTCAGCTGTCCCAGTCAACAGTGCATCCACAGCAGGAATGCGTCACGGCCTCCCAGCCGTCGTCACGGCCCCTCCTCAAGTGGCCGCCCAGTGCCCCTACACCCCGGGCCGATCCCTCTGCTGCTGCCCCAACCCCGTCGACTGCGGCTCCTTCTTACATGTGGCAGCTGGTACGGGACGGCCCTGTTGCAGCAATGTCCTCCTGTGCTGCACTTCAACGCTAAGCTGAGGTGTGTGACTCTCCTGAAACACGCAACTGTGTACAGAGAACCACAACTGCTCCTGTCTCCAGTACCACTACTGCTGTGCCAGCCTCCAATGTGACCACAGCTGTTCCTATTTCCAATGTGACCACAGCTGTTCCTGTCTCCAATGTGACCACAGCTGTTCCGTCTCCAATGTGACTACAGCTGTCCCTGTCGCCAACGTTACTACAGCTGCCCCACTCTCCAATATAACTTCAGCTGTCCCAGTCAACAGTGCATCCACAGCAGGAATGCGTCACGGGCCTCCCAGCCGTCGTCAACGGCCCCTCCTCAAGTGGCCGCCCAGTGCCCCTACACGCCGGGGCCGGATCCCTCTGCTGCTGCCCAACCCCGTCGACTGCGGCTCCTTCTACATGTGCAGCTGGTACGGGACGGCCCTGTTGCAGCACTGTCCTCCTGTGCTGCACTTTAACGCCAAAGCTGCAGGTGTGTGACTCTCACTAACGCCAACTGTATCGAGAGAACCACAGCTGCCCCTGTCTCCAGCACCTCAACTGCTGTCCCAGCCTTCAGTGTGACCACAACTGTCCCTGTCTCCAACGTAACTACAGCTGTCCAGTTCTCAAATATAACTACAGCTGTTCCAATCAACAATGCGACCATAACTGTTACTTCGTCAGCGTGACCACACCTTTTCCAAAACTCCACCGTAACCGCAGCTGTACCCAGCTGGTCTATGTCTCTATGCATCCAGTGTCCAGGGTGACCACGCCTGGACCAGACCAGAGTGCGAATCACAAGCACAGTCAAAATGCCTCCCAATGTATCCTGCATTTACTTTGCAATAAACTTTTTGAAATCGAACATTATATTTTGCACGCATTTTTCATGATGGTTATTCTGGTTAGCTTACATAACGCGGAAAATTAATGATGTGAAGAGAATAACATTAATTTCACAAGAATATAAAACAAAAACGAATATTAAGATTATAATAGACCTTTTCTTGAGGTAGACACCAATGGCAACAATAATTATTTTGACGGACAAAGAATGTAATTATTGAACTTAAAGTTCATTCAATTACAAAAGGTGATGGAAAATAACGAAGGACTTGGCGATTGCTTTATATTTCAGAACAGATTGTCTGGGATGCACTCGCAAGAAGAAATGTAAAAGTAACCAAAGCCTAAAAGGTCTTCTGAAGAGTTCTATTTCGATGAACCTGGAAATGAGAATATAGTTATAAGCACAGAATTTGGAAACAAAGGCTAGAAAATCGTGATTTTATGAGAACAATAAATAGTAATAATGATAATGAAATGGAATGGATCTGTCCACTTCGTTTTTGCGTCGTCTGATGAAACCAGTTTGGATTCAAAACGCGATTTTTCCCTACAGTGGCCGTTTATCTTATTGGGATATTAGAGTATGGTGATGCGTTGCATACAGTAGGATAAATAAACAGCAAGGCGATAAAAAAAAAAAATATTACAAAAAAGACTGACCAGAATTTGCGACGCCTGATCATCATATATGGAACAGGAGAAAACAAAACAATTATTAAGGAACAAGGAGATGAGAAGAAGTTATCATTTTTATATATAGTTCTGAATATTTGTTCATGTTTTAACAGTCTGTGTTTCATCCCTCGGGAATTAGTTATCTGCATAAGCAACTCCATAGATTGAGTTATAAGTTGTAATGGACTGTCTATTAATATCTCTAAATCGTAGTGACTGACCAGTGCTCCCTTGTGGACGCTGAGCTTTGCTTGGAATTATTTGTCTGGACAATGCATACATGTAACGGTCTGTCTGTCCAACACCTTGTCACCATCTATCTACTAGCACAGATATGTTTATGTTTTTGTCTATATCTCAGGCAAAATGTATGCACATACATACGTATACATATAGACATAAAAATGTGTGCGTGTGTGGTGTGTGTACGTATACATATATATGCGTGCACGCACACATTCACACATACACACACACACACACACACACACACACACACACACACACACACATATATTATATATACACATATACACTTAATGTATGAATGTGTATTTATAATCTCGTTGATTTATTAGATTTATCGGTTATTCGTGTTATGGTTATTTATTTTCAAGCTTATAACTTGTACTACAAAAGCAATCCATTTTTGTTGCACTGAACAAACATCTGCCAAACAAATGCGGTTTATCCCAAATATTTCCTCGGAATGTGAGAGGTAAATCGACCCAAAGTCCCTCCCTTATCTTCCCATCGGCGCTTATCAGCTATTTCCGGAGAGAGATCCGTCCAAGAGGATTAAGGAACCTTATCTCGTCTTTCCGTCGCCACTGAGACGTCATCGAAACGTATGTTGGGGATTTAATCCGAGGTCCTCGACGTCTGCTCTTTGACGTCACTCCTCGTTCTTATAAGCAAGACGCTCGTCCGACCAACGCATTCGAGAGGATCGTTCTTAACACGAGAAGCTCCCTCAGCGTCAGGCACCTCAGCGTCTACCTGCATTTGGGCAATTAGTGAAAACATCTAAAACATGATGTTTAAAAGGTGTGTAGGTGATTTCCATCAATCGCTTCGTCTTAATGGAAAGTAAAAAGGGAGTGGTAGTAAAAACTGATAAATAAACAAGTTGTGAATTGTATTTTTGCTTGATTTTGTTGGTTTCAATACGAAGCACACCACCTCCCATACACATGTTCGCATGTGTATGACAGAGGGGCGCTAGGAATCCAACTGTAAGCCAATGGGGCGCCAGCCTGCAACCACTGGTTGAGATGCTAACATCATCTTTCTATGCATATGGGTGACAAACATTTATTTTTAGTATCGTATTCTGTAAAGAAGAATAAAAAAAAAAAAAACTACTTCATCTCCGTCAGCTTGGTCGCGTCTCTGTCGCTGCTGGTCGTCGCAGGAGTGAGTCACGGCCTCCCAGCCGTCGTCACGGCCCCTCCTCAAGTGGCCGCGCCAGTGCCCCTACACGCCAGGGCCGATCCCTCTGCTGCTGCCCAACCCCGTCGACTGCGGCTCCTTCTACATGTGCAGCTGGTACGGGACGGCCCTGTTGCAGCACTGTCCTCCTGTGCTGCACTTCAACGCTAAGCTGCAGGTGTGTGACTCTCCTGAACACGCCAACTGTGTACAGAGGACCACAACTGCTCCTGTCTCCAGTACCGCTACTGCTGTGCCAGTCTCCAGTGTGACCACAGCTGTTCCTATTTCCAATGTGCCCACAGCTGTTCCGTCTCCAATGTGACTACAGCTGTCCCTGTCGCCAACGTTACTACAGCTGCCCCACTCTCCAATATAACTTCAGCTGTTCCAATCAACAGTGCATCCACAGCAGGAATGCGTCACGGCCTCCCAGCCGTCGTCACGGCCCTCCTCAAGTGGCCGCCCAGTGCCCCTACACCCGGGGCCGATCCCTCTGCTGCTGCCCAACCCCGTCGACTGCGGCTCCTTCTACATATGCAGCTGGTACGGGACGGCCCTGTTGCAGCACTGTCCTCCTGTGCTCCACTTTAACGCCAAACTGCAAGTGTGTGACTCTCCTGAACACGCCAACTGTATCGAGAGAACTACAGCTGCCCATGTCTCCAGCACCTCAACTGCTGCCCAGCCTTCAATGTGACCACAATTGTCCTGTCTCCAACGTAACTACAGCTGTCCCAGTCTCAAATATAACTACAGCTGTTCCAATCAACAATGCGACCACAACTGTTACTTCGTCAGCGTGACCACACCTTTTCCAAACTCCACTGTAACCGCAGCTGTACCCAGCTGGTCTATGTCTCTATGCATCCAGTGTCCAGGGTGACCACGCCTGGACCAGACCAGAGTGCGAATCACAAGCACAATCAAAATGCCTCCCAATGTATCCTGCATTTACTTTGCAATAAACTTTTTGAAATCGAACATTATATTTTGCACGCATTTCTTTCATGATGGTTATTCTGGTTAGCTTACATAACTGCAGAAAATTAATGATGTGAAGAGAATAACATTAATTTCACAAGAAGATAAAACAAACAACGAATATTAAGATTATAATAGACCTTTCTTGAGGTAGACACCAATGGCAACAATAATATTTTTGATGGACAATTAATGTAATTATTGAACTTAAAGTTCATTCAATTTACAAAAGGTGATGGAAAATAACGAAGGACTTGGCGATTCTTATATTTCAGAACAGATTGTCTGGGATGCACTCGCAAGAAGAAATGTAAAAGTAACCAAAGCCTAAAAGGTCTTCTGAAGAGTTCTATTTCGATGAACCTGGAAATGAGAATATAGTTAGAAGCACAGAATTTGGAAACAAAGGCTAAAAAATCGTGACATTATGAGAATGATAATAATATAATAATAAGGAAATGGAAATGGATCTATCCACTTCGTTTTTGCGTCGTCTGATGAAACCAGTTTGGATTCAAAACGCGATTTTTCCCTACAGTGGCCGTTTTATCTTATTGGGATATTAAAGTATGGTGATGCGTTGCATAGTAGGATAAAGTAAACAGCATGGCAAGAAAAAAGAAAATCACAAAAAAGCCTGACCAGATTTTGCGACGCCTGATCATGATATATGAACAGGAAAAACAAAACAATTAAGGAATGAGATGAGAAGAATTATCATATAGTTCTGAATATTTGTTCATGTTTTAACAGTCGGTGTTTCATCCCTCGGGAATTTGTTATCTATAAAAGCAACTCCATAGATTGAGTTATGAGTTGTAAGGGACTGTCTATTAATATCTATAATGTTATAACTGTCCAATGCTCCCTTGTGGACGCTGAGCTTTGCTTGAAATTATTTGTCTGGATAATACAAACAAGTAACGGTCTATCTGTCCACACCTTGTCACCATCTATCTACTAGCGCAGATATGTTTATGTTTTTTGTCTATATCTAGGCAAAATGTATGCACATACATACGTATACATATAGACATATAAAAATGTGTGTGTGTGTGTATGTACGTAAACATATATATGCGTGCATGTATATATATATAATATATATATATATATATATATATATATATATATATATATATATATATATATATATATATAATGTATGAATGTATATATAATCTCGTTGATTTATTAGATTTATCGGTTATTCGTGTTATGGTTATTTATTTTCAAGCTTATAACTTGTACTACACAAGCAATTGATTTTTGTTGCACTGAACAAACATCTGCCAAACAAATGCGGTTTATCCCGAACATTTCCTCGGAATGTGAGAGGCAAATCGACCCCAAAGTCCCTTATCATCCCATCGGCGCTTATCAGCTATTTCCGGAGAGAGATCCGACCAAGAGGATTAAGGAACCTTATCTCGTCATCGAAGACGTCATCGAAACGTATGCTGGGGATTTAATCCGAGGTCCTCGACGTCTGCTTTTTGACGTCACTCCTCGTTCTTATAAGCAAGACGCTCGTCCGACCAACGCATTCGAGAGGATCGTTCTTAACACGAGAAGATCCTTCAACGTCAGGCACCTCAGCGTCTACCTGCATTTGGGCAATCAGTGAAAACATATAAAACATGATGTTTAAAAGGTGTGTAGGTGATTTCCATCAATAGCTTCGTCTTACTGGAAAGTAAAAAGGGAGTGGTAATAAAAACTGAAAAATAAACGTTGTGAAATGTATTTTTGCTTGATTTTGTTGGTTTCAATACGCAGCACACCACCTCCCATACACATGTTCGCATGTGTATGACAGAGGGGCGCTAGGAATCCAACTGTAAGCCAAGGGGGCGCCAGCCTGGAACCACTGGTTGAGATGCCAACATCATCTTTCTATGCCATATGGGTCACAAACATTAATCTTTAGTATCGTATTCTGTAAGGAAGAATAACAAAACTTTACTTCATCTCCGTCAGTTTGGTCGCGTGTCTGTCGCTGCTGGTCGTCGCAGGAGTGAGTCACGGCCTCCCAGCCGTCGTCACGGCCCCTCCTCAAGTGGCCGCCCAGTGCCCCTACACGCCGGGGCCGATCCCTCTGCTGCCCAACCCCGTCGACTGCGGCTCCTTCTACATGTGCAGCTGGTACGGGACCGCCCTGTTGCAGCACTGTCCTCCTGTGCTGCACTTCAACGCCAAGCTGCAGGTGTGTGACTCTCCTGAACACGCCAACTGTGTCCAGAGAACCACAGCTGCCCCTTTCTCCAGCACCACTACTTCTGCCCCAGTCTCCAATGCGACCACAGCTATTCCTGTGTTAATATAACTACAGTTCAGTCAGCAATGTAACCACAGCTGTTCCTATCTTCAACGGAACCACAGCTGTTCCTTCTCTACTGTGACCGCAGCAGTTCCAAACTCCAGTGTAATTGTAGCTGCTTCCAGATGTTCTAGTCTCTTGTATCTCCAGTTGCTCCAGTATCCAGAGTAACTCAGACGAACGCCACAATATTGCTGTCAAGATGTTTCTTAATATTCGGAATAAACTGCTTAAATACTTTATGTTTTGGGCGCACATATTTTTCCTGATATTAGTTCTGCTTGGCTAAGAACATTTCAGATAAAAGGAAATGAAGAGGAAATAATAGGACACATAACTAACGCTTAAGAAAAATCAAGTTAAAGTAAAACTAATCTTTCACAAGATACATGAACACATAACAAAATCAAATAATATAGAAGCTATTGAATGATAAATTGCGCAACGTAATAAAAACAGTTAAATAAATCATTACAAATTAATAAATGGCCCCACTGCAAAAAACAATTGGTCTAGAATTTAATGGCGATAAGAAATCTTAAGCTGATGAATCTGAAGGCGAATGCAACATAACACTCAACAGGCATAAAACGCTGCTCTTCACTTTCTGGAAAAATGGTTGTGTCATGTTAAAAAAGAAAAGTATATATATATATATATATATATATATATATATATATATATATATATAATTGTTGTAGTGTAGGATGAGGCTTGTCAAGGATCAGAAAATATATGAAGTGATTACGGACTTCGTTTCACAATTTTGGAATATAAAAATTGTGTCGGAAGGTGTAAAAAATAAGTCTTAAATGTTTTTCTTTTATAGAACTAGCACTTATAACCCCATGGATTGTGAATCATAACAAGCAATAATCTTAATGTTACGCTGATTATTCCATCTCAATTGAGGGTGCTAAGCATCGTGCCCAGTCAGCTCGTCACACGCTCGTCTATCAAAGGGACTCAAAAAACATAGTCCTACATGACAAGCAAATAGTCATAGGGCTCCTTCCACATGTGCATGGCATGAAGTGATTAGGTTAATCTTTTCATAATATTGGAGTATATATTTCTTATGATTGTCATCATCATACCTTGGTTATATATTTTGTTATTCCTAATCAGGGCTCTCGCTTTTAAGGCAATTACCTTAGTTCGAGGTAATCCAAGTACTTTTAAGGTAACGTTTAAGGTAATGCAATTTAAGGTTTTTAACGTAATTCTTTTTTCTTTGTATTTTGTAAAGATAAGTATTATTGATGATCCAGTGTGATAACACTTTGGGACATTCGTACTGTGAGTTATTATTTGAAAATGTGTTATTTCTTTGTATCTTGTAATGATAACTATTATTGATGATCTAGTATGATAACACTTTCGGCAGTCTTACTGTAAGTTAGTAATTGAAAATGTTTTTTTTATTTATATTTTGTAAAGATGTGTTATTTGTGTTGAAGAAGGAAAGTGCATTATTTTTTTTAATATGATTTCCAGCAATGCTAAAGTTGTGATGTAGCCTATCAGGTCTATGGAAGAATGCTTATATGTGTGTATTATGGTTGATTGCTACCTAAAACTAGACCTGTTCAGTTGTGCAATCGTCATTAAAAGTATCAAGAACAAAGAAAGTTAGGATGAAATCATATTTTCAACAAAAAACTAAGGGTAATTGTCAGGGATATGCTCCAACAGTTCTAAAATAATTCGCTGAAATCTAAGGTAAAACGCCGACATCTAAGGTAATGTTCATCTCTGATTGTGAGAGCCCTGTTACTAATACTCATATATATTGTTATTGACATATATAGATATTATCTTCATAATAAGACATGAACAAGCACGAAATATAAGGGACTGTGAGAGGCGAGTAAAACTACCCTATTCAACATATAACACGCATATAAAGCCAAACGAGAAGCCAGTCGCTCTCGTTCGCTCAATATATCGTTATCCATTCCACCACCTGAATCTATTCCAAGTGATTTTGATGTTTTCTTTAACATAAGTTAAGTGTAACGAATAAACTGTAAAGAATTATCATCAGATTATCGTGATCAAAGTATTGTTAAGTAAAAAAAAAAAAAAAAAAAAAAAAAAAAAAAATCCAAATTAATTGACTAATTACAATCTTTACAAGGAAATAGTGCAGATGTTTTTATTCTATTATTCATTTTCTTCCTCTGGTTCTTACGTCGTTTGACATTCACGGTCAGTTTTCTAAGGTGATACTAGATAAATCTAATAATACACGCACATGCATCTGAATGTGTATATATGTGTGTGTGTGTATAAATAGACACATTTCTTAATATATCTGTATATACATTCATAACTAGATCTATCTATATCTGTATCTCTCTCTCTCTCTCTCTCCTCCTCAATAATATATATATAATATATATATATATATATATACATATATATATATATATGTATGTATGTATGTATGTATACAAGTATACCGCGTTATTTCATTTCTATCTATACATCTTTCTGTCTCTATCGATCGAACTGTCTAGTTTCGATGTCTATATGCAACATACGCAGTTATTTGCCCTGCTCTTCCCTTATTTGTTCTGTTTACAATCTGCTCAGCATGAATCCTCCTTATCTCCTCCTTATCTCCGGGGAGAACCTGCTTCGGAGGAGGAATACCTTAGCCTTTTCTATTTCCTTTGACGGGATAAAGATTAGAAACTGGATTAAAGGGATTATTCTGAATCTTTGGAAGTCAATTCTGACGTCATTCTTCCTCCTTATAAGGCGAAACCCTCGTACACACAAATCACTCGAAAAGAGAACCTCACAGCACACCAAACGACTCAATCATCTGTCTACACTTGTAGCTTTAAAAATGAAGTTTCACAGGTGTGTAAATGCCTTAGCTGTGCCACAGTTTATTTCAGAGACATAGATATATAGGATGCACTACAAACGAAAATACACATTGAGTCATTAAGACCAAAAATGTATAGTTAAATATGTTCCGTCAGGCATATCAACCAATTCTTATTTCCGTCAGCTTGGTCGCTTGTCTTGTCGCTGCTGGTCGTCGCAGGAGTGAGTCACGGCCTCCCAGCCGTCGTCACGGCCCCTCCTCAAGTGGCCGCCCAGTGCCCCTACACGCCGGGGCCGATCCCTCTGCTGCTGCCCAACCCCGTCGACTGCGGCTCCTTCTACATGTGCAGCTGGTACGGGACGGCCCTGTTGCAGCACTGTCCTCCTGTGCTGCACTTCAACGCCAAACTGCAGGTGTGTGATCTCCTGAACACGCCAACTGTGCCCAGAAAACCACAACTGCTCCTGTCTCCAGCACCACTACTGCTGTGCCAGTCTCCAATGTGACCACAGCTGTTCCTGTCTCCAATGTGACCACAGCTGTTCCCGTCTCTAATGTGACCACAGCTGTTCCCGTCTCCAATGTGACCACAGCTGTTCCCGTCGCCAACGTTACTACAGCTACCCAGCCTCCAATATAACTTCAGCTGTTCCAGTCAACAGAGCAGCCACAGCAGGAGTGAGTCACGGCCTCCCAGCCGTCGTCACGGCCCCTCCTCAAGTGGCCGCCCAGTGCCCCTACACGCCGGGGCCGATCCCTCTGCTGCTGCCCAACCCCGTCGACTGCGGCTCCTTCTACATGTGCAGCTGGTACGGGACGGCCCTGTTGCAGCACTGTCCTCCTGTGCTGCACTTCAACGCCAAACTGCAAGTGTGTGACTCTCCTGAACACGCCAACTGTGTCCAGAGAACCACAGCTGCCCATGTCTCCAGCACCACTACTTCTGCCCCAGTCTCCAATGCGACCACAGCTATTCCTGTGTCTAATATAACTACAGTTGTTCCAGTCAGCAATGTAACCACAGCTGTTCCTATCTTCAACGGAACCACAGCTGTTCCTTCTCCACTGTGACCGCAGCAGTTCCAAACTCCAGTGTAATTGTAGCTGCTTCCAGATGTTCTAGTCTCTTGTATGTCCAGTTGCTCCAGTATCCAGAGTAACTCAGACGAACGCCAACAATATTGCTGTCAAGATGTTTCTTAATATGCCATGCATTTATTTCGGAATAAACTTCTTAAATACTTTATGTTTTGGACGCATATTTCTCCTGATATTAGTTCTGCTTGGTTAAGAACATTTCAGATAAAAGGAAATGAAGAGGAAATAACAGGACACATAACTAACGCTTAAGAAAAATCAAGTTAAAGTAAAACTAATCTTTCACAAGATACATGAACACTCATAACAAAATCAAATAATAAAGAAGCTATTGAATGAGAAATTGCGCAACGTTATAAAAACAGTTAAATAGATCATTACAAATCAATAAATGGCCCCACTGCAAAAAACAATTGGTCTAGAATTTAATGGCGATAAGAAATCTTAAGCTGATGAATCTGAAGGCGAATGCAACATAACACTCAACAGGCATAAAACGCTGCTTTTCACTTTCTGGAAAAATGGTTGTGTCATGTAAAAAAAAAAAAAAAAAAAAAAAAAAAAAAAAAAATAATATATATATATATATATATATATATATATATATTATATATATATATACATAATTGTTTAGTGTAGGATGAGGTTGTCAAGGATCAGAAAATATATGAAGTGATTACGGACTTCGTTTCACAACCAATACTTGTAAAACAAGTGTTGGTTTAATGGGTGATGTATGTTCACTGTAATTTTGGAATATAAAAATTGTGTCGGAAGGTGTGAAAAATGTCTTAAATGTTTTTCTTTTATAGAACTAGCACTTATAACCCCATGGATTGTGAATCACAACAAGCAATAATCTTAATGTTACAGCTGATTATTCCATCTCAATTGAGGGTGCTAAGCATCGTGCCCAGCCAGCTAGTCACACGCGCGTCTATCAAAGGGACTCATAAAACATAGTCTACATTCCATAGTCCTACATGACAAGCAAATAGTCATAGGGCTCCTTCCACATGTGCATGGCATTAAGTGATTAGGTTAATCTTTTCATAATATTGGAGTATATATTTCTTATGATTGTCATCATCATACCTTGGTTATATATTTTGTTATTACTAATCAGGGCTCTCACTTTCAAGGTAATTACCTTAGTTCGAGGTAATCCAAGTACTTTTAAGGTAACGTTTAAGGTAATGCAAATTTTAAGGTTATTTTAACGTAATTCTTATTTTTTGTATAATGTAAAGATAAGTATTATTGATGATCTAGTGTGATAACACTTTGGACATTCGTACTGTGAGTTATTATTTGAAAATGCGTGATTTTTTTGTATCTTGTAATGATAACTATTATTGATGATCTAGTATGATAACACTTTGGACATTCGTACTGTGAGTTATTATTTGAAAATGCGTTATTTTTTGTATCTAATGATAACTATTATTGATGATCTAGTATGATAACACTTTCGGCAGTCTTACTGTCAGTTAGTAATTGAAAATGTTTTTTTTTTTTTTTTTTTTTTTTTTGTAAAGATGTGTGTTATTTGTGTTGAAGAAGGAAAGTGCATTATTTTTTTTTAATGATTCCAGCAATGCTAAAGTTGTGATGTAGCCTATCAGGTCTATGGAAGAATGCTTATATGTGTATTATGGTTGATTGCTACCTAAAACTAGACCTGTTCAGTTGTGCAATCGTCATTAAAAGTATCAAGAACAAAGAAAGTTAGGATGAAATCATATTTTCATAAAAAACTAAGGTAATTTTCAGGGATATGCTCCAACAGTTCTAAAGTAATTCGCTGAAACTAAGGTAAAAATCATCTAAGGTAATGTTCATCTCTGCTTGTGAGACCCTGTTACTAATACTCATACATATTGTTATTGACATATATAGATATTATCTTCATAATAAGACCTGAACAAGCACGAAATATAAGGGACTGTGAGAGGCGAGTAAAACTACCCTATTCAACATATAACACGCATATAAGGCCAAACGAGAAGCCAGTCGCTCTCGCTCAGTACATCGTTATCCATTCCACCACCTGGATCTAGTCCAAGTGATTTTGATGTTTTCTTTACATAAGTTAAGTGTAAAGAATAAGCTGTAAAGAATTATCATCAGATTATCGTGATCAAAGTATTGTTAAGTAAAAAAAAAAAAAAAAAAAAAAAAAAAAATCCATATTAATTGACTAATTACAATCTTTACACGGAAATAGTGCAGATGTTTTTATTCTATTATTCATTTTCTTCCTCTGGTTCTTTCGTCGTTTGACATTCACGGTCAGTTTTCTAAGGGATACTAGATAAATCTCTAATAATACACGCACATGCATCTGAATGTGTATATATGTGTGTGTGTGTATAAATAGACACATTTCTTAATATATCTGTATATACATTCATAACTAGATCTATCTATATCTGTATCTCTCTCTCTCTCTCTCTCTCTCTCTCTCTCTCTCTAATATTATATTATATTATATATAATATATATATATTATATATTGTATATGTAGTATACAAGTATACGCGCTATTTCATTTCTATCTATACATCTTTCTGTCTCTATCGATCGAACTGTCTAGTTTCGATGTCTATATGCAACATACGCAGTTATTTGCCTGCTCTTCCCTTATTTGTTCTGTTTACAATCTGCTCAGCATGAATCCTCCTTATCTCCTCCTTATCTCCGGGGAGAACCTGCTTCGGAGGAGGAATACCTTAGCCTTTTTATTTCCTTTGACGGGATAAAGATTAGAAACTGGATTAAAGGGATTATTCTGAATCTTTGGAAGTCAATTCTGACGTCATTCTTCCACCTTATAAGGCGAAACCCTCGTACACACAAATACTCGAAAAGAGAACCTCAGCACACCAAACGACTCAATCATCTGTCTACATTGTAGCTTTAAAAATGAAGTTTCACAGGTGTGTAAATGCTTTTGCTGTGCACAGTTTATTTCAGAGACATAGATATATAGGATGCACTACAAAACGTCATTAAGACCAAAAATGTATAGTTAAATGTGTCCGTCAGGGCATATCAACCAATTCTCTATTTCCGTCAGCTTGGTCGTGTCTCTGTCGCTGCTGGTCACGCAGGAGTGAGTCACGGCCTCCCAGCCGTCGTCACGGCCCCAAGTGGCCGCCAGTGCCCCTACACGCCGGGGCCGATCCTCTGCTGCTGCCCAACCCCGTCGACTGCGGCTCCTTCTACATGTGCAGCTGTACGGGACGGCCTGTTGCAGCACTGTCCTCCTGTGCTGCACTTCAACGCCAAGCTGCAGGTGTGTGACTCTCCTGAACACGCCAACTGTGCCAGAAACCACAACTGCTCCTGTCTCCAGTCCACTACTGTGTGCCAGTCTCCAATGTGACCACAGCTGTTCCCGTCTCCAATGTGACCACACACAGCTGTTCCGTCTCCAATGTGACCACAGCTGTTCCCGTCTCCAATGTGACCACAGCTGTCCCTGTCGCCAACGTTACTACAGCTGCCCCAGCCTCCAATATAACTTCAGCTGTCCCAGTCAACAGAGCAGCCACAGCAGGAGTGAGTCACGGCCTCCCAGCCGTCGTCACGGCCCCTCCTCAAGTGGCCGCCCAGTGCCCCTACACGCCGGGGCCGATCCCTCTGCTGCTGCCCAACCCCGTCGACTGCGGCTCCTTCTACATGTGCAGCTGGTACGGGACGGCCCTGTTGCAGCACTGTCCTCCTGTGCTGCCACTTTAACGCCAAACTGCAAGTGTGTGACTCTCCTGAACACGCCAACTGTATCGAGAGAACTACAGCTGCCCATGTTCCAGCACCTCAACTGCTGCTCCCAGCCTTCAATGTGACCACAACTGTCCTGTCTCCAACGTAACTACAGCTGTCCCAGTCTCAAATATAACTACAGCTGTTCCAATCAACAATGCGACCACAACTGTTACTTCGTCAGCGTGACCACACCTTTTCCAAACTCCACTGTAACCGCAGCTGTACCCAGCTGGTCTATGTCTCATGCATCCAGTGTCCAGGGTGACCACGCCTGGACCAGACCAGAGTGCGAATCACAAGCACAATCAAAATGCCTCCCAATGTATCCTGCATTTACTTTGCAATAAACTTTTTGAAATCGAACATTATATTTTGCACGCATTTCTTTCATGATGGTTATTCTGGTTAGCTTACATAACTGCAGAAAATTAATGATGTGAAGAGAATAACATTAATTTCACAAGAAGATAAAACAAACAACGAATATTAAGATTATAATAGACCTTTCTTGAGGTAGACACCAATGGCAACAATAATTATTTTGACGGACAATTAATGTAATTATTGAACTTAAAGTTCATTCAATTTACAAAAGGTGATGGAAAATAACGAAGGACTTGGCGATTGCTTATATTTCAGAACAGATTGTCTGGGATGCACTCGCAAGAAGAAATGTAAAAGTAACCAAAGCCTAAAAGGTCTTCTGAAGAGTTCTATTTCGATGAACCTGGAAATGAGAATATAGTTAGAAGCACAGAATTTGGAAACAAGGCTAAACAAATCGTGACATTATGAGAATGATAATAATAATAATAATAAGAAATGGAAATGGATCTATCCACTTCGTTTTTGCGTCGTCTGATGAAACCAGTTTGGATTCAAAACGCGATTTTTCCCTACAGTGGCCGTTTTATCTTATTGGGATATTAGAAATAGTGATGCGTTGCATAAGTAGGATAAAGTAAACAGCATGGAAAGAAAAAAGAAAATCAAAAAAAGCCTGACCAGATTTTGCGACGCCTGATCATGATATATGAACAGGAAAAACAAAACAATATTAAGGAATGAGAGATGAGAAGAATTATCATATAGTTCTGAATATTTGTTCATGTTTTAACAGTCGGTGTTTCATCCCTCGGGAATTTGTTATCTACAAAAGCAACTCCATAGATTGAGTTATAGTTGTAAGGGACTGTCTATTA